CCATGCCTGTAGGTAGTATCTACTTGAATGCTTTTCAGTGGATTAGCTAAAGAATTTTAATATCTTTACCTAACTGTCTTAAAGAAACTTCATGTTGTGGATTGATTGATACCTTTGGACTCTGTTAACTAGTTATATTGTATTACTAACAACTCTTGCAGTTGTTCCCCTTGCCTAGTTCCCCTTATGAAGCTGCGAGCTCAGGCATAAGCGGGGTGGGATAGAGGAATACTAGGCAAACTGCCAGATAGCAACATGTAAATCACAGTGCACAGGGAGTTTTCAAAACTGAAAATGTTTTCATATATACAAAGACATTCTGTTGGAAATGAGACTTTAAAACTTTGAAAATTAAGCATTTGCTGTTTGAGACCGTAATTCTGCGGTTTTGCAAGAACGGTGAACTGTCTTCCGATTCAGGTGATTACCGGAGTGCAGCTGAGCAGAAGCTGCAGACTGTTCACAGTAGCTCTCGTTCGGTGAGCAGAAATAAGTTCACTAGAAGCCAGTTATAGTGAATATCAGGCTGCTTCTGCATTCAAAGTATCATGTTGGGGATGTCTTAAATATATACTTTTATTGATACAGAAAATGCAATTTTGATTCTTTTACATTACTAGGACTTAAGAGAGTTTATGTTGAAATGCCTGCTTTTAATATAGCATTTTGAATTACACCATATATGATTTTTAAACTTAGCTCAAGCAAAGTTTAGATTAAATTGCCCCTGTCAATTTAAAAATTAGTATTATATTACTAAAATATATATCATTCATTATTTATATGAAAATTGAATTTGTTATAGTTGCACTGTAAGTTTTCTTACAAATGGGGTAAAATTTAACATTTTAAAATGTTAAAATGGGCCGGCGCCACGGCTCACTAGGCTAATCCTCCACCTGCGGTGCCAGCACCCCGAGTTCTAGTCCCGGTTGGGGCGCCGGATTCTGTCCCGGTTGCCCTTCTTCCTGTTCAGCTCTCTGCTGTGGCCTGGGAGTGCAGTGGAGGATGGCCCAAGTCCTTGGGCCCTGTACCCACATGGGAGACCAGGAGGAAGCGCCTTGCTCCTGGTTTTGGATCTGCGCAGTGCGCCAGCCATAGCGGCCATTTGTGGGGTGAACCAACGGAAAAGGAAGACCTTTCTCTCTGTCTCTCTCTCTAACTCCGCCTGTCAAAAAAAAAATGTTAAAATGATTCTCAACTCCAAGGTCTTAAAAACCTGTTTCAATAAAGTAATAAGACCTCATCATGTCAACATAAAAGTGTTGTGACACTTAATGCATTATATTCAGAAACATGTACTTAAGGGGTTTCTACTTATTTCCATTTGGTATTGGGAATCTATCACACAGGCTTATATGGCAAAAATGGAACAAAACCTTTTTTTTTAAGCTAATTTATCTCAGTTTTTGAATTTATGATACACACAGGGGATGGTTCATTTATACTTAAATCAGGATGCATTATCAATGATGTTCTAACCACTGAAAAATGCTCTTGTCCATCTGTTCTAAGACAAACTTCTTTGCACACTTTTCAGCTCTGAAAATGAGATGTTTGTAAAATCGTTGTCATCATTTAACAGAGGTGTTTTCTCACCTGGTGGCATATAGAACTGTCGGTGCATCTGTCTCATTCGCTGTTGCCTTAGGTTTGTAAGTGGAGGTTGAATTTTTAAAGTTTGCTCTGGAGCTTGCATTCATATAATCCCTTATGATGTTGGTATATCTTTGTGGTGAGAAAAATCCTAGTAGTAGGATTATACCACATTATTTGAAATTATTGGCCTTTTTTCACATCCTTTTTTCTTTATTTTCACTGTTATCCTAATTTGGTGCTTTATGTTAAACTGATTCTCTATCTGAATCTTACATTGAGAGATACCCAGAACAGTAAGAGAAAAATGGAAATAAAGAGGAGAAAAGGCTTGGGGTCCGGGTAGGGTGCAGTAGGACCTGCAAGGTGAAGAGCAGGAAACAGGAAAGGGAACCTGAGGGAAGTGGCAGTCAGCAGCACTTGCTCCCTGATTCAGCTTAGCTTGTCCAGAAATCTCTCCCTGATGAAGTCTCCGTGTTGCACAGCAGTAGCTAAAAGCAGTGTTAACGTCCTGTGGACCTGGCCAGCAAACCCTTCTGACCAGAGCTTTTTCTTGCTTTGTGAGTGGTGCTTTGTTACCTCCTTTAGTTGGTGCCTTCCCTTTTGTAGACCAAATAAAGTTTGTGTTTCTTCTTAATGTTCTGCTTCAAATTAAATAAAGGGGAGAACCAATTACTATAGCATGCATTTTTTAAAAAAGATTTATTTATTTGAAAGGCAGAGTTACAGAGAGGCAGAAGCAAGGCAGAAGCAGAGAGAGAGAAAGAAATATCTTCCATCCCCTGGTTCACTCCACAAGTGGCCACAATGGCCAGAGCTGAGCCTGTCTGAAGCCAGGAGCCAGGTGTTGCTTCCAGGTCTCTTTTATGTGGGTGCAGGGGCTCAAGGACTTGGGTCATCTTCTGTTGCTGTCCCAGGCCATAGCAGAGAGCTGGATCAGAAGTGGAGTAGCCAGTTCTCCAGCTGGGTCTTGAACTGGTGCCCATATGGGATGCCGGCACTGCAGGCGGCAGCTTTAACTGCTACACCACAGCACTGGCCACTATTATGCATTTTTCTACAAGGAACTATTACAGATATGTGTACAATTGAATTTTGTGGGTTTTACAGGAGGTTTGGAAATACCAAACAAATATTAACTTTAGAAAATTTCCCTACCTTTCTCCATCCCTATAGAGATTGGTAAAGTCTTTCCCCTTTAGTTTATTTGATTTTATTATTTGATTTTTATTTCCAAAAGCAGTAATTTGTGTATTTATAGTATAAATTTATAACACATTTTCCTACTTAGTTTTCTGTTCTCTAAACTCACTGAAATTATATACTCTTCAACAGTTTTATCCATACTCTTCAGCCCTGGAATGTTTTAGGTATTCTGCGTTGAAAAAGTAAGTTACAAACAAAGATTATTTGGCTTACATACTCTATTAGGTAAAAAAAACACACACACACATACACCTTTTTTCTTAAAAATTTTGACAGGTAGAGTTACAGATAGCGAGAGACAGAGAGAAAGGTCTTCCTTCCATTGGTTCACCCCCCAAATGGCCACTACAGCTGGCGCTGCACTGGCCCGAAGCCAGGAGCCAGGTGCTTCCTCCTGGTCTCCCATGTGGGTGCAGGGCCCAAAGACTTGGGCCATCCTCCACTGCCTTCCCGGGCCACAGCAGAGAGCTGGACTGGAAGAGGAACAACTGGGACTAGAACCCGGTGCCCATATGGGATGCCAGCACTGCAGGCAGGGGATTAGCGAAATGAGCCACAGCAAAAAAACTTTTAAAAATTAAATTGTAGGGGCTGGTGTTGTGGTGTAGTGGATTAAACCTCTGCTTGAGATGCTGGTATCCCATATGGATGTCAGTTTGTATCCTGGCTGTTCGAGTTATGATCCAGCTCCCTGCTGATGGTCTGGGAAAATCAGCAGAAGCTGGCCCAAGTTTGTGGGCCCCTGCCACTCACATAAGAGACCTGAATGAAGCTTCTGGCACCAGGCTTCAGCCAGCATTAGCCATTGTGGCCATCTGGGCAGTGAACCAGCAGATGGAAGCTTGTTCTCTCTTTCTCTGTAACTCTGACTTTCATATAAATAAATAAATTGTCCAAAAAATTAAAGTATAATTTAAATTTTTAGTATAAAACTTGAATTGAGGGTACCATTTTTCCCACTAGATAGAACTTTTGATTTATAAAGGGGTTTACTCTTGTAGTATTTTGAACACACCATAGGAGTTTTGTGGTTTTTTTTTGACAGAGTGAGAGAGAGACAGAAAGACAGGTCTTCCTTCCATTGGTTCACCCCCAAATGGCTGCTATGGCTGGTGTGCTGCGCCAATCTGAAGCCAGGAGCCAGGTGCTTCCTCCTGGTCTCCCATGCGGGTGCAGGACCCAAGCACTTGGGCCATCCTCCACTGCATTCCCGGGCCACAGCAGAGAGCTGGACTGGAAGAGAGGCAACCGGGACAGAATCCGGCGCCCCAACAGGGACTAGAACCCGGGGTGCCAGAACCGCAGGTGGAGGATTAGCCAAATGAGCCGCGGTGCCAGCCAAGTTGTTTTTTTTTTTAATACTCCAAAGGGCAATAAGGAATTGTTGCATCCAATTTCAGATGCTGTACAAAAGTTATGATCTTCCTGGATTTAAGCAGCTTTTTAAAAGTCTCATATTCATAATGATTAACTTACCCAATTTGTTTTATAATTAAAAAATTTTTTTTAAGTTTTTTTTTTATTTATTTATTTGACAGGCAGAGTTACAGATAGTGAGAGAGAGAGAGAGGCAGAGAGAAAGGTCTTCCTTCCATTGGTTCACTCCCCAAGTGGCTGCAATGGTCAGAGCTGCGCCGATCCAAAGCCAGAAGCCAGGTGCTTCCTCCTGATCTCCCATGCAGGTGCAGGGGCCCAAGCACCTGGGCCATCCTCCACTGCCCTCCCAGGCCACAGCAGAGAGCTGGACTAGAAGATGAGCAACTGGGACTAGAACCAGTGCCCATATGGGATGCCGGCGCTGCAGGCGGAGGATTAACCAAGTGAGCCACAGCACCGGCCCCCAGAATTTTTAAAAATTCAATAGAATTTTACTTTTATGTTTTTGAGTCACATTACACTCTACACTTTTTTGAACTGTCGTGGGTCTCAATCCATACTGATGAGGATTTTCCAAGTCACACAGTCCTTAGCAGCACAGTCCTTGGCCATTTGGGGGATTTTGTATTGTTTTCCTTACTGTCATGCCTCAATGAGGTAGACATATGAAATAGTCTGTAAGTAAAGGCAAATCTTCTTCACTCCTTTATATTTCAAAAGCAGAAGCTGACTTTTGTATATTTTTCACAAAAAGATATGCCAAGTAAGATTTTTCAATTTGGATAATGTTATTGTCCTGAACTTCTTTTCTCTTTCTTCAGAGGATGTACTGAGTAAAGATGCTGGGGAATGTGCAATATGTCTTGAAGAACTGCAGCAGGGAGATACTATAGCACGGCTGCCTTGTCTATGCATATATCATAAGGGGTAAGTTTCTTTTGATGTTAACCAAGTTGCTAATAGAGTAAAAGGTTGTTGTCACAGTTTCAAACATTGTAGTTAGGGCTGAAAATATTTCTTCAATCAACAACTCCCCCCTCTTTCCTGTGTCCAGTGCATGCGTGTGTGCACGTATACACACACACGCAGACACACACAAGCACACATGCACACATGCATCTTAAAAAATAATGGCTTTTTGTTCCTGTTAGGACTAAAACTCAACCCCACATTTGTTTATAGCTAAAAGGTTACCATTTTTAAGTATTTCCTATGATGCAGGCATTGTCCATAGCTTCTTAAATAGGTATGTTGTGAAAGCCTTATGACAGCCTCATTTTATAATTGAGGAAATCAGCTAAGGGACAGTAGGGAATTTCTCCAAGGTTCCATGGCCAATAAATGGCAGAGCTGAGACTGCAGCAGATTTGCAGTCTGCTGGACTCCAAAACCCATCTGGTTTCTTACACAGTCATCTTGCTTTCAGACCAATAAAGGAGAATTGTTATGTAAAAATAAAACAAGGGGTGGACTTTTGGTGCATTGGTCAAGGTGACTGCATCCCATTTTAGAGTGCCTGCATTTGAGTCCCGGCTCTGCTTGATTCCAGCTGCCTTGCTGATGCAAGACCTGGGAGGCAGCAAGTAATGGCTCATGTACTTGGGTCCCTGCCACCCAGGTGAGAGACCTGGGTTGAGTTCTGAGTTCCTGGCTTCAACCTTTCTCAGCCCAATTGTTGTTGGCATTTGGGAAGTGAACCAGTGGATATAGGATCCTTGTCTTTCTGTGTCTGTCTCTCTGCCTTTCAAATAAATATAAGAAAATAATTTTTAAAAACTTTAGAAAAAAAAAGGTAACTAGAAAACAAAACAGCAAACCATAACTTTCAAAACAATGGAGAAATGAGGTAGAATTTTGATTAAAGGTGGTAGTGCAGGAAGCATAGGGAAAACAGAGTAATAACATAAATAAGGAGGCAATAGTAAATCCAAATATATCAGTCATTATAATAAATTTGTATAGCACAAACTCATCAGTTTGAAAAGTTATGGGGGCCAGTGGTGTGGCATGGTGGGTAAAGCCGCTGCCTGCAGTGCCAGTATCACATATGGGCACCAGTTCACGTCCCAGCTGCTCTACTTCTGATCCAGCTCTCTGCTGTGGCCTGGGAAAGCAGTGGAAGGTGGCCCAAGTGCTTGGGCTCCTGCATGTGGGAGACCCAGAAGAAGCTCCTGGTTCCTGGTTTTGGGTCAGCCCAACTCCGGTCATTGCAGCTATTTGGGGAGTAAACCAGCAGATGGAAGACCTCTCTCTTTTTCTCTCTCTCTCTCTCTGCCTCTGCCATTGCCTCTCTGTAACTTTGCCCTTCAAATAAATTAATAAATCTTTTTTTTTTTTTAAAAAGGTGTGATATGTTGTTGATAAGTAACACCCAAGGTTATAGAAAAATATGAAAGTAAAAGGACAGAAAACTGTGTCAAGGTACCTACTAACAAAAAGAAAACTGACAAAGTAAACTAATCAGATAAAGTAAGCTTTATATCAGAATGCATTGTTAGGGATAAATGGACTCACCATGTAATGATATGTTAAATTCTGGGGCAGGCATTTAGCTTTAGAAATTAAGGCACCAATTAAGATTCCCACATTAGATATTGGAGTTCCTGGGTTCAGCACTGCCTCTACCTCCTGATTCCAGCTTCCTGCTGTTACTGCCCTTGAGTGGCAGCTGGTGATACAGTCAGGTGATTGGATTCCTGCGACCCTGGTGGGAGATAGGCCCACAGAAACAGTTTGGTAAGATAACAGACATCCAGACAGCACCATGTTAACAATCTTACATTCTTTCAAAAAGGACAAAAAGAAGTCCAACTGCTTGGGACACCCACATCCCATATTGAAGTGCAAGGATTTGAGTCCTTAACTCCACTTTGAGTTCCAGCTTCCGGCTAGTACATGCTGTGGGAGGTAGCAGCTGATGCCTCCCATTTGGGATACCTGGGTTGAGATCCTGTCTCCCAGCTTTGACCCGGCCCCACTCCAGGTATTGTAGGCATTTGAGGAATGAACCAGCAAATGGGAGATTTCTGTCTCCCTACCTTTCTAAAAAGTTAATTAATTTTTTTTATTTTTTATTTTATTTATTTATTTATTTGACAGGCAGAGTGGACAGTTAGAGAGAGAGAGAGAGAGACAGAGAGAAAGGTCTTCCTTTTGCCATTGGTTCACCCTCCAATGGCCGCCGTGGCCGGCGTGTTGCGGCCGGCGCACCGCGCTGATCCAATGGCAGGAGCCAGGTACTTATCCTGGTCTCCCATGGGGTGCAGGGCCCAAGCACTTGGGCCATCCTCCACTGCACTCCCAGGCCACAGCAGAGAGCTGGCCTGGAAGGGGAGCAACCGGGACAGAATCCGGCGCCCCGACCGGGACTAGAACCCAGTGTGCCGGCGCCACAAGGCGGAGGATTAGCCTAGTGAGCCGTGGCGCCGGCATAAAGTTAATTAATTAAAAAGAAACTTTATTGAAAGATCTAAAATGTGTTGGCGGCCGGCTGTTAGGCCCTGCACCTGCATGGGAGACCAGGAGGAGGCACCTGGCTCCTGCCATCGGATCAGTGCGGTGCGCCGGCCGCAGCGGCCATTGGAGGGTGAACCAACGGTAAAGGAAGACCTTTCTCTCTGTCTCCCTCTCTCTCACTGTCCACTCTGCCTGTCAGTAAATAAATGAATAGAATAGAATATGTTGGCGTACCCTGTGTGGACAGGAGGACTCACAGCTATCAAGGTATCATTTCACCCCAAGTTATGTAATTAATACTCTATCAGTCAAGTCCTATTATAGTTTATATAATCAGACCACCTGATTCTAAAAATACATATGGATCAAAGAATAATCAAAACACTCATAAAAAAGATGTCCATGTTGCCAGGGGTTGTTGTGCTGAGCAAATTTATCATTAAGACAGTATCAGTTTGATAATTTGGAAATGGTACATTTTGGGGATCGGCATTTGCGGTTCAGCGGGGTAAGCCACTGCCTACAGTGTGGTTCAGGTCCCTGTCGTTGCACGTGGGAAAGCCATAGAAGATAACCCAAGTGATTGGGCCCCTGTACATGGTACATGAGGATGAAGCTCCTGGCTTCAACCTGGCCCAGCCCTAACATTGCAACCATTTGGGAAGTAAGCCAGTGGGTGGAAGATACCTCTTTGTCTCTCCCTCTCTCCCTGTAACTCTGCCTTTATAAGTAAATCTTAGAAAAGAAAAAAGCCACTGGAACAGAGGGGAGTCCATAAATACTCCTGGCTGTATGGAAAACAGTATAGTGTGGAGGTTAAATCATGGATTCTGGAGTCAGGACTCCCAGGATTTGATTCTCACCTCCTCTACTCATTCACTGTGCTCCTGGTCAAATCACTTAATTTGTTTCCCTCTCATTCTATAAAATGAGGACAGCAGTACCAACTTTATAGAATTATAAAGGTTTAAGCAAGTTCAGTTTTGGAACTGAGGCAAATATTGTGGCACAGTGGATTCAGCCTCTGTTTGGGACGCCTGTATACCATATTGAATTGCCTCTGCTTCCAATCCAGCTTCCTACGAGTGCTCCTGGGAAGCAACAAATGATGGCGCAAGTATTTGGGTCCTTGCTACCCACATAGGACACCTGGCTGGAGTTCCTGGATCCTGGCTTCCACCTGGCCCAACCCTAGTTATTGTGGGCCTTCGGGGAATGAGCCAGCAGATGGAAGATCAGTGTCTGTCTGTCTGTCTGTCTATCTCTCTTTCTCTCTTTCTCTTTCTCTTGATATGTGTGTGTGGTTTTGTTTGTATGTGTTTGTGTGTGTGACTCTCCCTTTCAAATAAATAAACAAAACTTTAAAAAGCTTGGAATGTGGAGGCACCTAGTAAGTAATGTAAAGTGTTTGAGTACATTAAGAAATGATTTGCTAGTGATGATATAGCAGTAGAGTAAGGAAAGAACAGATTGTTATAAATGGTGTTAGGATCAGTTGGTTATTGTATGGAAAAACAGCTGAATCCCTATCTTAAATCTCAGAAATCAATTCCAGGTTGACTAAATGCATACCTATAAAATGAAAACCTGAAGTGACAGGGAAGTGCTTTTGACCTCCTAGTAAGGAATTATTTTGTTTTAAATGAACCACTCCCCTCCAAAAAAAGAAAAGCTTGAAAGACTTATATTCCCCCCGAAAAAAGCTTCAAAGGTAACTTTGTCTATATTAAAATTTTAAAATTACTTGAATCTTGACTCTGCAGAAAAGTAACAAACTACATCTTAGAATGTTATCAAAGGTTTTATATATAAAATAATGTTTTCTTTCAGTGATTTTTCTGTAATATCTCCCTAATACATTTTAAAAATTTAGAGTGCGTATGCAAAAATTAGAAAAAGTATGTTACTCAATTGTATCATTTATATAAGCTTCTTAAAATTAATTAATTTGGGGGTAGAAAGAGCTCCCATTCATTGTTTCATTCTCCAAGTGTCTGCAGTGGCAGGAATCCAACAAGGTTTAGGACTGGGGCAGAAGCTGGGAGCCAGGACACTTAATTTAGGTTTCCTGAGTATCAAGAACCCAATTACCTAAGCCATCATCACTGCCTCCCAAGGTCCGCATAGTGGGAAGTTATAGTCAGGAGCCAGAGCCAGATAATGCAGTTTGATACTTTGATATGTGATATGGGTAGTGTGCCTTAGCCACTAGGCTAAACACTCGCCCCTTATATAAAATTTTAAACATAGGAACAGTACTGGATACTGTTTTGGAATACACACATACATAGTTACAAAGTAAAAAATGCCTAGGAATGGAAAACACCAGATTCAGAATAGTGAGTTCATAATGGTGCTAGGTGAAGGGAATATAATATTTTAAATAGTCAGTGAAAATTATTTAGAACAGAACATAGGTGGATTGCTAGTAGTTTATGTGAAAAGGACCTGGGGTTTTAAGTGATTCTTTTCTCCTGATGGGGTAAAATTACATGGTAAAAGAAGGGGCACCCATTTCAGATCACATAGGCACTATTCAGATGTACTGTGAATTGCTAACATAGCTGGAGTATTTTGTTCCATTCTCAGGACTTTAAGACGTGTTCTGGTAGAGCAGGGGACTTTTGAAGTAGTGGAGACAGACTGAAAACATTGACCTGAACCAAACTGGGGATGTGCTTAGAGAACAAAACTCTTAATGGCTATAGACATTGCAAGAATAATGCGGATGAGATGCATTACTGTTTTCTTTTTAATTCAGTTATTTTTTAAGTGAAACACTTTTTTTTTTTTTTTGGGGACAAGCAGAGTGGACAGTGAGAGACAGAAAGAAAGGTCTTCCTTTTCCATTGGTTCACCCCTCAATGGCCACCGTGGCCAGCGCACTGTGGCCAGCGCACCATGCTGATCCAAAGCCAGGAGCCAGGTGCCTCCTCCTGGTCTCCCATGCCGGTGCAGGGCCCAAGCACATGGGCCATCCTCCACTGCCTTCCCGGGCCACAGCAGAGAGCTGGACTGGAAGAGGAGCGACCGGGACTAGAACCCGGTGTGCCAGCGCCGCAGGTGGGAAGGATTAGCTTATTGAGCCGCGGTGCTGGCCTAAGTGAAACATTTTTTTAAATTTTTTGAATTTATTTGAAAGGCAGAGGGATGAGGCAGGCAGAGAGATCTTCTATAAGCTGGTTCACTTCCTAAGTGCCCACAGCAGTCAGATCTGGGCCAGGTAAAAACCTGGAACTCAGTCTGAGTCTCCTACATGGTGGCTGGGACCCAAGTACTCGGACCATCATCTGTTGTCTTCCAGGATGTACAGTAGCAGGAAGTTGTACTTGGAATTGAAGCCAGGACTTCAACTCAAGCACTCAGATATGTGGGTGTCCCAGGTGGCATCTTGAGTACTGCCCCCATCTATACTTTCCATCTACCAAACCAACCTGTTAGGAAATAAGACTGATAAATACAAACTTTCCCTTTCAGTGTATTGGCTAAGCCTGCCATATCTGAGTTTGAAGTGCATCACTAATGAAAATGTAGAGCAGTTTGAATTCTGCTTGGGTGCCTTATTAGCTGTTGGGCAAGTTACTTAACCTTGGAAGAGCTTGGTTTTAGTCACCTCTCAGGGAGCTGTGAATTAGGACTTGTGCTCTATGGAAACTTTCTGTGTTGTACAGTAGGGTACCCACTAGCCATATTGCTGTTGAGAATTTGGAATGTGTCAATTGTGGTTGAGAAACTGAAATTTTTACTACATTTTAAACATTAAATAACCACGTGTAACCCTTGTCTATTTTATTGTACAGTGCAGATTTATAATTGTTTAATTTTATGTACCCTAATGTTTAACTTCTAATAACATCATTAAATAGTTTATAAATGCAATTGATCGTATTTATTTGTGTGTGTATATATTGCAAGATAGGACAGAATATGTTCAGTAATTAAATATAATTTTAAATGATTTTAATATTTATGATATAAACAGTTGATATAGGTACATAAGTGACTATTTTGAAAAGAAAAATCTCCAAATTTATCACTTTTGTATATTTGTAAAGAGGTAGTTCTTCAGGTTTTGTTTTTGAAGTAATTTTCTTTGAACTTAAAATAATTTATTGTAAAATTTTGTAAAGATCTTTTCTTTAATGGCTTAATCAAAATATAATAAACGTACCCCCTTTAGATTTTTTTGTAACGGTGAAGTTGAGAAGTAAGTATTATGATGACTGTCATGATATAAATAATTAAACGTAAGTATTTCCATTTTTTCCTGATTTTGTTCTTTCCTAGGTGTATAGATGAATGGTTTGAAGTAAATAGATCTTGCCCTGAGCACCCTTCGGATTAAACATTGATTCCTGTTTTATAGGTAATTCTCCCTTTTGTTGTAATTGCTCTTTAAAAGTGTTGTCTTGAACTACACATCCTCAGCCATCATTTGTATTCATTTACTCCCTGAGGCAAGTGAGGGAGTGTATATATGTGGGAGTGTATGTTCCAGATACTTTGTTAGACTACTATGTAGAAAACTCACACTCAAAAATACACTGAAATAACTTTCTTGATTTGTGCATAAAATCAGATACTGAATGTTAACATTCTTGGTACTTCAAGAACACATTTGCCTGTTGAATTTTAGGTGATTACTGAAAAAAGTACATGAAGTACATATCAAGACTTCATTTTTCCAGTGACAAACCTTTGGATCTGAGTAGTTAAATTCCATGATTTTAATATATATAATAAAATATAACATATTTTAAATATGTAAAGCTTTTTTATGGGATTCATCCCTCAAAATGATTTAAGAAAAAAAAGAAGCAGGTTCCACATCATCTAGCTAGGAGGTAGAGTCAGATTTCATACTCCTATCCAAAACTTCCTAGCTTGTACAATTGTATTATTCTGATTATTTAGCATTATCATGTGTCAGGCATTGTTCTAACCATTTTAGTAATTCATTTAATTGTCATCCTGCCCCTTTGAGCTCTTATTATGCAGTTGAGGAAATGAGGTACACAGAGGTTAAGAAACATAGCTTGTCAGGCTCACGTAGCTTGATGGGTGGAGATGGGATTTGAACACACATCCTGGCTCCCAAGACTGTCAGCACGTTGAGGCACCAGGTGGAAGCATTACCTTCTAAAGTTGTGTCACAAATTTGTTCATTCAGTTCAGTCACCTACCTATATCTGCAGCGTGTAATAAAGCCCTTGTCTATATAGTAGGAAAAAAGGGAATTCTAAAACCAAATAAAGAATTCGTTTTGCTCTGCTGATTTAGCTTGTGGTTCTGCACTATCTGAAAATGTTTAGCGAATTGAACGGAAGCCTCACTTGAGAACTGCTTTTTCTCATACTCCATGAAGTAAATTAAATGGCATTATTCAGCTTTGAAAAGTAAAGGTTAACTTAATTACCGTCTTCCAATATATGGAAAGCTTTTATGAGGAAACTTGCAGAAAAGACAAAGCATTGAATTTTCACCTCGGGGCCGAATGTTTTTAGCCAATCCTGGAGCGGTCTGAAGGAGTTCACACTTCTGTGTTCTCCACTGGAGACATTTCCGGACAGCAGTCTTTTCTGAATGGCTGAGACTGAAGGTAGAGAACCAGACCAGATAGCATCCAGAGAGGTAACTTACCCTCAGTTACGGCAGTGGGAATGAGCACTTGAGTGCAGACCTCTCACACAGCAGTAAGCTCCTGTAAGTTGTGAAAACCGCAGAAAACAGGTTACTACAGACTGAGCTGTGCTTCGCTCAGATCAGGCCTGGCACCCTTTCAACAGGAATTGCAGTACGATTGCTGGCAAGAGCAGTGTAACAGTGGAGTGGTGTTCGGAGTCTGTGTACCATGTGTTTGATTTCACTGTGAAAAAGGGTTGTGAAGAGGAAGATGCTTTGGAATGCCTTCAGTGCCTTCCTGGAGCTAGGTCAATAAAGTGAAGCTGTGGCTAGGGTAACAGAAGCATTTTCAAAGAAGTGCTGCAAACGAAGCTAACAAAATGAAATTTTCATCTTAGTATTTTAGGTGCCAACATAATACCTCTAAATCCTTCACCAAAAGTACAATGAGTCTTTAAAGTCTTAGTCCTTGCTCAGGCTGCTATAACAAATGCCTTAGATGGGTCTTTGGAAACTAGAGATGTGTGGCTCACAGTTCTGGAAGGCGCCCCAGGTCTAGTTTCTGGCGAGGACTCCTTCATCTGTGGAGAGGACAGCAGGCTGCCTCGCGTCCTTTGATACGGGCACTAATGCCACCCATGAGGGCTCTGCGGACACGGCACAGTACTCTCACACTGGAGACGAGGTTCCACATTCATGTTCTGAGAAACATGAACATTCGGGTCATAGAGAGTTGGTTAAATTTTTGTATGTGTAAGATGGAATTTTATGATGTACATTTTTTCTTTTGTGGTCTTGTCACTAACTTTTTTATTTGCTGTCACAGTGAGCTTATGGGATACATAGAATATGCAGCTCATAGGCAATATGCATTCATATGTTGGTCTTAAATAACATTTCTGTTCCTTCATGCTATGAATCATTGTTATCTTTGTATTTTTATTTATTTACTTATATGTGGAGCTCGAGTTTGAAATGTCTAGTCATCTGCGCACAGAAATCTGAACCAATGAGGTCTGCCTCTAAGCCCTAAAGAGTCATTTTTAAGAACTTAGAAGGGCCAGCTCTGTGGCATAGTGGGCAAAGCCTCCACCTGCAGCACTGGCATCCTATATGGGCACCGGTTGGAGTCCTGGCTGCTCCTCTTCTGATCCAGCTCTTCGCCATGGCCTGGAAAAGCAGAAGATGGCTCAAGTCCTTGGGCCCCTGCACTTGTATAGGAGACCTAGAAGAAGCTCCTGTCTCCTGGCTTTGGATTGGCCCAGATCTGGCATTGTAGCCATTTGGTGGGGAGTGAACCAGCAGATGGAAGACCTTTCTCTCTGTCTCTTCCTCTGTCTGCAACTTTACCTCTCAAATAAATTTAAAAAAAATCTTTTTTTAAAAGATTTTTATTTATTTACTTGACAGGCAGAGTTACAGACAGTGAGAGCCTGCATGTGTGACTGGTGTCAAAGAAGGGTCTGACAGGGGAATTCAAGGAGTCAAAATATCTCCATGAGGGAACTCTTCAGAATTTGCATTTTACTCCAGACAGCCTGTAGATTTCTCTATATAGTGAGGAAACGGGGAGGTGATCAACAGACTGTAAAGATTATCAGTCTTCACACAGAAATGTTCTCATATTCTATCAGTGTTAGTCTCTTACCCAGGAATCCTTACAGACGCTGAAGCCCAGGCCCCAGAGTCGTTCACACCCAGCTTCCACAAGTGTTTCCGGAGGTGACACCCACAGCTCTGCCAGAAGCAAAACAGATGTCAGAATCCAGAAATGGATCCTGATGGTCAGCTTCTCATTGTCAAGTAGCCTGATATTGTAATTGATAATTTAATTATTGAAAGAAATCAGTACTTTTAAAGCAATCGAACTTGTTTATCAGTCCAGTGATGGAGTCTGTACTGAGCTCAAGATTTGCAGGCTGGTTTTTGGATTCAATCCTTATCAATATATCTCTGAAATCCTGGAGCAGCTCCACATCTGTTTTTTTTTTGTTGTTGTTGTTTTTAAGTATTTATTTACAGAGTTACAGAGAGGCAGAAGAGAGAGAAAGAGGTCTTCCATCTGCTGGTTCACTCCCCAGGTGGCTGCAACCACCACAGCTGGGCTGATCTAGAGCCAGGAGTTTCTTATGGGTCTCCCACATGGGTGGAAGGGCCCAAGGACTCGGGCCATCTTCTGCTGTTTTCTCAGGACATAGAAGAGAGCTGGACTAGAAATGGAGTAGCCAGGACTCGAACCAGCAGCCACATGGGATGCCAGCACTGTAGATGGTGGCTTTACTGCTGTGCCACAGTGCCGGCCCATTTATGGCACGTTTCTTCCATTCTTTATACATTTCTTTCAGCTGATCTCTTCATTCATTCTGGCTTCATTTCGCATGAACTGTTGCAACAGCTTCTCATCTTCTTTCTCCAGCCTCTGTGTACTCAGAGACCTGGATGCATGCTCCTGCGTGCATCCCCACTCTCCCCTTTCTGTAGCTGCTCCGGAACATCCACAGGCTGATACTGCTCTCATTTGGGTTTCTCTGAGGTTGAGTCTTTTCTCAAAAGACCTCATTTACTTGAAAAGTGACCCGCTGTATTCCTCAGCAGCCACATCAACGGGGCTGTCTGTGAGTCAAAGCAGAGCACACGCAGCAGGCTCCTGTCCCACACCAAAGACCTTCTTTGTCTCCTTGGAGGTCCTACACGTATGCTTCTCAGAATTCAGGAACTAGTGGAGACGAGCCTTTCTGGCAGGGGACACCAGGTTTCTCAAATGAATATTTGTTTTCATGTCTTTCTGCCGTGATGATTCCTTGCACGCTGGACATCGGGCAGGACGTTGGGCTTCTTCACAGGAGAGAGAGAGACAGGGCCTACAGAAACTGTGGCCACAGTGAATGGGGACAGTGCAGGCAGATGAAGCAGCTGAGTTCTTTCTGAAAAACTTGGGGGGGCCGGTGCCACGGCTCAATAGGCTAATCCTCCGCCTTGCAGCGCCGGCACACCGGGCTCTAGTCCCAGTCGGGGCACCGGATTCTGTCCCGGTTGCCCCTCTTCCAGGCCAGCTCTCTGCTGTGGCCCGGGAGTGCAGTGGAGGATGGCCCAAGTGCTTGGGCCCTGCACCCCATGGGAGACCAGGAGAAGCACCTGGCTCCTGCCATCGGATCAGCGTGGTGTGCCGGCCGCAGCACGCTGGCCGCGGCGGCCATTGGAGGGTGAACCAATGGCAAAAGGAAGACTGTTCTCTCTGTCTCTCTCTCTCTCTCACTGTCCACTCTGCCTGTCCAAAAAAAAAAGACTTGGGGGATGTCTGAGTCCATTTCTCTAAGGACTGTATCTGCGGTCTCACCAACATTGATGTAGAAATCAAAGTATGAAGCCAGTTCAGGGATCAGTTCAGCCCTCTCTGTGGTGCTGGTTGCTGGCAAATTTCTGAAGCCTCCCGGGCGGCTCCAAAGGAGGTGTTCAGGTTTTAGAGCACAGCCTAAATGTCCACCGTAAGAATTTAATGAAAAACTGAAGTAGAGCTGCATAAACGCATGAATATCTGACATCTTGATTAGTTAAGAAATTGTCTACTGTTTTTATTTTGGACTTTGTAGTTACTTGGAGAGAGACTATGAAATAAATTGTATGTGAGCGTGTTCATGTTCTCTGGTGTAGTCTTTATTGTGGGTGAATGACTGATGCGTATTGGCTATTTTTGTGACTATTTTAAACTTTGGCCTTTATTTGTCTTGATCTGTTCTTCCGCAGGACACTAATTTAATAAATTTCTAAAATAGAAGGGTATGAACATCTTAAAGCAATGTCTGGGGAAATGGATATTGCATTTTGATTTGTATTACTATTATGATCACTGCATACATTTATCTATTTTTTACACAGGTTTTCTTGTCTTTTCAAGATACTTGAAAAATCGAGAGGATATGAGAATCTGTCTCTGGATACACAGAAGCCTGAGTTCTGTGAGATGTGGTGATACAGAGAAGGACAGCGTGCAGGAGAGCAGTGCTGTCGCACGCAGATGGCACACTTAGCACAGAACTCAGAGCACCAGACCCACAGAGAAAGGACACACAGGGATTCTGAAAATGCTGCACATCCCTTACTAGTCATCCACATAGGTACACTGAGAAACATTTTGTATTCCGACGCCAAAGTTAACTGCTTTAAAAGTTGATTTACTTTTTATTAAGTTCTCTAGAGCTGCGCAACTCATTGTGTTATGGTTTGTTCTCCTTTTCTAGTTTGGGGTCTCTTTTCCCCAGTGTAATGTTTCTGCATTCATCTATTCTTAAATTGCAAACCACATAATTCTCATAAATTAAAGTCTTAAATGTGAAACCAAGAAATGTAATCAAGCAGTAAAATGTTCTCTGAATGAAGACTATGATCTCAAGTTCTTCCATTTTCCCCCCAAGAGTGGAAAATAGACTTCTACATAGGAAAGCTAAAATGTGTTAGTATTTTTAAATTAAAGGTTTAATATTATCAGAATGTAGTCCAAAGAGTAAATCAAATTGCATAATTACATCTTAATTAAATGTGGCATTGTCTACTGAACTGCAGTTTATGGAATATGTCGTTTCTTCTTAAATAAAACTGCCCAGCAGTTACTCAGCAGTGAATCATCTTGCAGCTATGCAACTTTTCCAGAAATATGAATTACCAGTTTTAAGTACTGCCAGATATAATAACTTTGTTTTAACGGGTATTTTTTGTTTATTCTTTTCATGTAATTATTTTATTGTACTTTGCATCTCCAGGCAGTTTTCTCAAATTTGGGTCAAGTGTTTAGTAGTTTGTAAACATAATAACTTATGAAAAGGGTAAACTAAAACTTTCTGGGGTGGAGCCTGGAATAATTTGAGGGATATTTTATATACCTTTAAAAATCAGAATTGTGATGCCAGATTTATAGCAATTTGCATCTTTAATTTTCCAGATACTCTGGAGATTAGCATTTGATAAATGATTTTTAAAGCAAATATGATAATTTTGTTAATTTATAATTTATTAATGTTATTACTGTAATTGAAAATGTTATAAAGACTTTAAATTCAGTCATATAGAAAGAAATGTATTAAGCAAAATTATGTGAATAAATATCCCCATAAAATATATCTGAATGGTTAAAAATACTGGAAGAGAGCTATCAAGGCTACAATAGTGAATGTCTTTTTCTTTTCTTTTTTTTTTAAATATCAAAAATACCAGTAAGAAAGTTTGGTGTTTTCAACATAGGGAAAATGTTATCAGTTATTAGGCAGTGCACTTTACTTGGTATAATTGAAAGTTGCACTATTTCCTTATTTTAAGCTTTCTTTTATGTATTTAAGTATAGCTTTTTTATTTAATGCTGCTCTTCTCTGAATTTTTTTCTCTATTGCTTCTGTTTCATATTTTTTACAAGGGCAAATACAGGAGCAACTGCTGCTACCCATTAAAATTTGTATATTATAAATAATTAAAAGAATTTTTAATTGCTTTCTGTGTGATTTGAGACTGGATAACATTTTCCCTAAGGCTACGCTGTGAAATGCCTTTTGTCAATGCTGCAATTGCTCAGAGAATCCAAGACCTCCATTGTGACAGCTGACAGCACAGTTCGCATAGGTGCTTCTCAAGTAGTTTTGGAAAATACTCCTCCCTCGAGGGAAATAGTCTTTCCTTCCATTCTTTCTGTTACCATGAAATCTTAATTTGAATCCATTTTATTTCACACTTTGAATTTTGTGAGCTTTCACACTCTTCCCTCCCCTGAGTAAACGCTTTTAGGATGTAAAGAACCAATTTGTTTTCTACTGTTGGTATGTTACTGTGATCATGATAATTTTGTTGTCTTCCTTTCTTAAAAGACATTTATTACAGCTGTGGTAATCAGCTGTTTCTGTTCTCCTGGGAGTTGATTTTCTGCTACAGGTTTTGACGTGTGCTGCTTAAGTTCACCTCTTCTCCTTTGTTTTCTCTGTCTTCCTAGACTAGCCTCTGTCATAAGCTTCTGTGCTGTGGCTGCTCCTCTGGTTTTAGAGAAAGCTCAGCGTTTGTCAGTTGCTGCTTGATTATTATATTTGTCTCAAACAGTAGTTACTTAATCTGTTTAGAACAATCCCTTTTTTGTTAAAATTTACAAGGTGGCATTTTTACTTTAAATTCCATCTGCAATGCCTTCCTAAAAAGAATTTAGAAAATGGAAAAAAAAGTTTATAAAGCCCAAGTGCTCCAATTTTTAATCTCAGTCGTTACTCTGGAAAATATTATAAGTAGTATTCTATTTAATGTCACTTATAATATTTGCAAATCCATATACAGATACAGAGTAGTGTAAGAAAGACATAAAATCATGTTAGATTTTTAAATATTTAGCTGAAACTGTAGACAACTAAATATTATAGAGACATAATAAAGATTGAAAGCTTTGATTTTCTTTTCAAGTGGGGTATGGCTTTCTAGAATCTTCCTAAGTAATCTTCATGTGAGATCACCTGCGTGTGTATGGAAAGCAGTATGTTCTCAGATTTCATTTTTGTGCCTCTTTGCCTCTGTAGTGGACTGATCACCAGTTTTGACTCATCTTTCTTGGTAGGGCACTTTGTAAAATTTGCCCTTGCCAGAATGTTGAAGAGACAGTAAAATTATACTCTTACTTTTGGCTGCTTGCCAGAGAAATAGAGTAAGCTTGGTCTTAATATATGTTTCTCAGATTTGGTTACAAATCAGTTTATAGATTGTATATTAAGAGATGTTTATGGTTGCAATATTAATAGTGGTTTTTATAATTGATATTTTGTGATCACAAAAACAAGATTTAAAGTTATGTTAACTTTGCATTACATATAGCTTTTGACTTCTTAATGCACATCTTATACTTTAAATGCTGTGCTGCTGTTGCCTTTTTCGCCCACCAGTCCAAAAATGACTGACAGCCGCCTTGCGCACATCTGCAGTGTGCGTCTCCTAAAGAGTGCAGTCTGAGTCAGTTCACCCAAGTGGCCGATTCCTTTGCAAAGTTTGTTGGGCTCACAGCTGTGTTTCTGTGTTTGGGTATAGTAAAGTTTAAGGGCAGTCATTAGATAATGATACTGTAGCAAGCAGTGGGGATGTTCCTGTAAATGAAAGATGATAAATTCCATGTAAGTGTTACTTAGCTTCACGCACTGACTTAGTGAAAGAAGGGGATTTTCCCAGCAGTGGGCTACATTTGAACAAAGCATGAGACTGCCTGAAACTTGAGAATAATTGAGTTATCATCTAATTGACATCCACACTATGCATTGATGATATCTAAAGTATTCTCAGAGGAAGTTTCCCTATAAATCAGATTGTCAGAAACTATTTAAAACTACCAAGAGGCCAGTGATGCTTATGTGAGTTATATGAGAACTACGCTATATATAGCTGCAGGAGATCTTACAGTTCATTTGGGCCATTTTCTTGCAATTTTGATTTATCCTAAGATGAACTCTGTGTGTACTGACAATGGATGATTAGATGTGAAGTATACCTTGTCTTAATGTATAGATATTTTTCTTAGTTAAAAAAAATTCTAGCATGCCAGTTATCTTATCTTTGGCCCATTCCCTGTTATTATTTTTTTTTCTTTAGAATTATCCTTGCTGTGTTGTGAATAGCAATAGTTAAATTGTATCTACCATCTTTCTCTGCCATATCTTCTCATTTTGAAACTAAATTGCTGCTTGGTCCACTCCTAATAGCATTTATATTCAGGAACAGCTGGTAAAACTTTTGGTAATAACTTACACAGACAGTACTCTGAATACCAGATCTGTGAATGGTATACTTGAGCCAGGAAGCTGAATATCCTCTTTATGGTCACAAAATTCCTTCTTTAAATGAGAAATACCTTGTCTCCTAAGTCAGCTGATTCTCTGTGGAAAGTAAAAGGCATTAAAGAAAACCAAATATAGTAATATTTAGTTGTAGTTGAAAATGCAGCATTACAGTAGTTAAGGGAGTTGGTTACTTTCAGATGTTTAAGCTTTCATTAATTTTAGACCAATGATTAAAATGAGATAGATTTTTAGCTGTTTATTCCTAATACTCAAAAGAACAGCATGGCATAAACTAACATCCCAAATGAAAAAAATGGAAGTGACTTTGCAGTCTCTGTTTATCAATAGTCTTTCTTAGCTCTGCCCTGTGCTGTGGAGCCACTGTCAGGGCCCAAGTCTTGGTGACAGAAGTATCTAAATTCTCCCATTACAAATTCTTCAGGCCTTCCTTTTCTGACTTGGATATGTTGAATAGGTACTGGTGATTTATGTTTGATAGCTGTATACCGTTAGTAAAGCTGGTGCCAGAATCTTAAAACATGTAATTGCCAAGTCAGTAGCATTTAAGTACCCATGTGCATAGAATGCAGTTAGCAGACCCTGTGGGGAGATGCAAAAGAGATTTTAGACTTAAGTGATGACACACATAATCAGTTCATACATTTTACTTCTTTGCAGTGTTTTTTTAATTTGAGTTTCATTGTTTGAAAGTCATAATAGATAATAATAGTAATAATAATTTCCTCTGTTGCTTTATTCGTGGTTTCCAAAACACTTCTGTAATTATCTCTTAATTTCTCCTATTTGAAAGTATTTTCCTGTTAAATAAAATATCAAAAGCATCAATCACAAGAAACAGAAAGTGTATCAGTAATAACTTGTGTTAGTATGTTCTAAACTGAAATGGGACAATTCATTATTGACATTTTAATAAATAAAACTTCTAAATGATCTTGATAAATTTTCCCTTTTTTAGATGTAGAAAATAAAAGAATACTTTGAAGGAATTTGTCATAATCCTCCCTTATGTCTAGAAGTTGATGTTACATTACAATAAAACAAAAATATCTCAATGCTGAAAAATCACCATAAATAACTGATGTTATGGCTTCTTTATTTTCGTATGCACTTGACCATAAAATTGAATCCAAAATTAAGTACAATTCTGTAATGACCTAAGAAATGACTGTTGTAGTTATAATGGAAAAATAGGTTTTCATTGTAACCGTAAGTAAAGATGTACTCTGAAATTTTAAATTTAAAACTTATTTGTAAATTTTGTAACTGAAATGTGACTGGAGAGCTCTTAAGTTTTGGGGACAGATGATCTAGTACATAATCATAACTTTTAAATTTAGTTGTATATTTGGTAACATTCCATTATGTTTTAAAAAAGAAGAGGAAATCTTTTGTGAAGCACAGCTTTCCTGATGAGTTGAGTTTTGCAGTGAGGTGGTTAAGAACATGGGTTCTGGAGCCAGACTGCCTGTCCTAGCCATCTCTGAAGATCAGGCAGCATGGTTTCTCTGTGCCCCACCTTTGTAAAAGGAAGTAATAACCCTATTTCACACGTCAGGGTTGTTGTAGTCAGTGGAAAGGTACATTTGTGCAAGACTAGACACATAGTAAACACTTAATGATGTTAGTGGCTATTATAAACAGTAGAAATATTTATATCCATTTATGAACAATTTTTGTACTCTCCAGTCATGAGGTATAGTAGTAATATATAAGACTTTAACTGATGTGTGTAAAGAGGCATGGGTATAATAAAGAACATTATGGGTTGTGATTCCTGCTGTTACTGCAGCCTAGTAATAAAAAGCAGCTATACATTAGGCACTACTTGATTCTGTGGACTGCAACTGACCAACAAAATAGCAGTGAAATACAACTGACCCTGCAATCGAGAGAATGACATATGCTCTGAGAAGACATAGACATCAGCTGTTTTGAAGGCACAAAGAAGAGTTAGTAAACTCAGACTAGGCAACAGAATGATTAAAGCCTTTAGAACAACAACAAAAATCATAGCCTAGGGTATGTGGATAAAGGAACATGTGAAGTGGAAATTTGGGAAGGGTTTTCATATGCAAAAATTTGAGAAACACATAACAGTCTTGGAGAGCTACTGTGTTTAGAGAGGTAAGCAAACAACAAGTCATGAAGAAATGTGTGTGCCAAGCTGATTAAGCAAGACTCTGATTCTAGAGGAATGAGACTGGAGGCAGAGAAATCTGTTAGAAAATGTATAGTGTTTCAGGCATGGTGCTGAGAGACTGAACTACAGCAATGGCACTAGGTAAAGCAAAGACAAAAGAACTTAATGGTTTAGGAAGCAGAGTTGACTCATCTTGGCAACCGTTTGGATTTAAGGGATCAGAGACAAGACCTGGACAACTTCTTGTTCTTTTCCGACAGCTTGAAGGGTTAATTTCTACCTGGGAAAAGGTGATTATGCTTGTAGTATCTGCTGGAGAAACAGAGATCAGGAACACCAATTCTAAAATGAAGGAATTGGATCTTGAGGGGCAACAGATCCTTGAGAGAGTAGCTGGACAAGGATAATTGGCAAGTTGTGGGAAAGCGAGCGGTGTGTGTCTGTGTTGTGTGTGTCTGTCAGACCCCACAAATGCCCCAGCAGTGGTTCACACTAAGCTAGCAGCAACAGCTCCTTAGTTGAGTTGGATTGCCCCTGGTATCCCCTGGCTCCTGAGCTCTGTACACCATTAGAATGGGGCGGTCTTTTCCCAGGTTGCTTAGAGAATATGCTGAGATGCACTTTGAATCATTCTTGGGGGTTTTCTCTTTGATAGACTTGTCCCATATCCTTTCCATTGCCAGTCCTGTCAGATCTTTGAAACAAAAGTCAAGCTACTTTTGGAACCAGGGTGTTAAAGAAGTAGACATGGAAGATGGATCCTGTGGTACTACTAATGGATGTTACTCTTAAGGTAGGTTGGATTAGACGAGGTAAGAGGACTAAAGAAATATACTATTGCTTGGAAATAGATGTGTTGCTGCTGGCCACATTATAATTTCTTTTGTTTAGCAAAGGATGGGAAATGAAGGCTGGTCAGCTTGTATTTAGTTCTTAGAGGAGCAGCACAGACTTCGGGATATATCCTTGTGGGTCAAGGAAGCTACTTCATAGATTCCCTAAACTAATCCATGTTCATGGAAACACCATGCAAGCTATCGGAGCTTCTCTTGTGGATGATCTGAGATTGCCCTTAGACCAGGAATTCCCACACACTAAGGCCTGTGAGGATAATGGAGACTTGACACCTCAGAGGGAACTCCCTGTATTTATAAGTATCACTACATGGTTTAAGAGTTGATTTCTCACACATGGTGTGTAAAAGTCATGTTTCTGTACTACTTAAGTGATGCTATGATTATAAAACAGATTTTAAGTTCTATATACTGCCTTACTTGCATACTTTTATTTTCCACAAACTTTTGAATTTGATGTCTTTTAATACGGAATTTTAGGTTACACAACCAAAAGAGAGCTTTGCAGTAAAGTCATTTTGAGATTCTAATGCTTTCTGACTGACTCGATCATGTAGCTGGAGAAATAGTTGGGTAACTGAATGTAGATTGCACAATTGTTATCAATGTAAATTTACTTCAGAAAAACACCAGATAACCATGTATCATGAACCTGTCACAATAACTCATTACTACTTGAATTAAAATGTGAGTAAATTTGTAAATGTCTTGATGATATCAGTCAGGGAGTTCCAATGATGTACAGTTCATCCATTATTAGGTTCAGACATGCGAAGGCTAAAGGCCTGCTGTGGGTATATAAACTAAATATCCCAGCTGTTGGCATTTTAGCTTGCAGTCCATATAGATGATTATCAGATAATACGTTGTTTTTTCAGTATTTGAAATCCAGTGTGTATTTCACACTTAGAGCACACCTCTGATCAGAACTTGATGTTTTCAGTGCTGAAGAGTCGTAGGTGGCCGTGTCAGTTCTGGGAAGTCTGGCACTCCTCCCTCTCATACATATTTTCAAAGGTGTCCTTGGTCGTGAAGACTCTTGGGTCTCAAAGTTGATTTAACTACTCTACAGTAATTACTAGTACTAAATTGAGGCAATTTCTTAATTTTTTCAGTGAGAAGGACTGGTTGTGGCCTCTTCTGTGTGCATTCACAGATAGTGTTGTGCAGATTTTTGGAAAGAACACAGAGTTTGAATAACTAGCCAGTTTCATAGTTAGAGGTTGGTGTGTTCCCGAGATGTTTGCCAAATGATTGATAGGAATTGTGAACACGGCAGGAGAGTGGCTCTAGTCAGATCTGGCCCCTGCGTTGAGCTCTAGGGAGGCGTTTTCATGAGTATTGGACTCTCCAGCTTAGGTGAATTTCTGCCATGTCTGTACTCACACTGTTAAACCTGTCCACCAGCCGCTCATTCACAAAACTGAGACTCTTCAAAATGCAGTGTGAGAGGCACCAGTAGTCAAGTCTAAGTTCTCTTCAGTAAGATGCTTGTTAGTTTGCCTAGGGACTTTGTGCTGATGTGCCATGGTGGCTGGAGATGGAGGTAGGGGTCCGTCGGGAGTTTGTCTGTAAGATCGGGTTACACATGGGGAAGGTAGACAAGGCACTACACACTTCTGCTTTGAGATTTCCATAAGCCAGTGGTTCTTGGCATTTAGCTAAACATTCTCAGGAGGGAGGGAGGGATTACAGAGGAAGCTCTTTATGCACATTGACCCCACCCCCGAAATTCTGAGTTAATTATTGGTAAGATTCTGTTGTAGAGCTAGTGTACAGCTTAGCTAGGATTTTTTCACAGGCCCCCAAATAGGGTGTCAGAGGAGGTGCAGACAGCAGGCTCGCCTCAGACCTCTGCAGCTAGCTGTAGCTGCATTCCCTTCATTTCTGTTTCCTACTTGATTGAACTCTCCGCCCTTTCTGGATGAGAGAGCTGCGTGGATGTCTTTGTGCATTCTCCCACCTCTGGTCTGGGTCAGACTGCCTATTCAGCCACACTCTGGGCTCTGCCTTTCACAGCAAAGCTTGCAGACTGCATATTCATTCATAGTCTCTCTCGCCCTCTCTCTCCCTTTCTCCCTCTCTCCTCTTCCTCCTCCTTTCTTCCCTTTTCCTCTCCCCTCCACCCCTCTCCTTTCCAAATAAATCTTGTTAAAAAACAGTTGCTGGATTCCTGAAAGCCCATTGGCTCCAGCAGATCAAAGCCTTTTGGGTCTCAGGCCCTTATCTCTTCCTTTGGACTTAAAAACCTCAACTTTGACACTCAGAATTGAGTAATGATGTCTCTGTTTTATCCCCCTTATTCTCCCTAAAGTGGCACCTACCACTGAGTCACTAAGTTGTCATAAGCAGCAGAGTACAGGAGGAACGAAAAAATACAGCAGTTAATAATTGAAAATTAGCACTCTGTTACACTCAGCCATTGGAAAGCCACTGAGGCCTACACATGACCGACTTGTCTTTCATTCTTGGAGTGCTGCTGGTAGTCTTTGGAATTCTTACCATGCTGAAGGATGGGATTTATTTCTTGGACACTGATGGAAGATGCTGTGTGAGGCACTGCATATACACTGATGGGGGGAGATAGTTCCTGGCCTTATGGAGCTTAAGAATCAGTGTTCCTAAAAGACTGGTATTCAGTTCGAATAAAACATACTTGACATGCATGTTTGAAACCTAGTTCTTACTAAGTATAGTCTCAGATCGTACAGGCCTTCAGGTAGTTAGTGGAAACCCCTTTATTTAAGGTGATGGCTTCATACCTTGTGCAAGACTCTGCTGTGTCAGCGCTGAAACACGGGAACAGGCGAGAGCAGAGGCAAGCACTGGGAAGAGCGGGCTGCAGGATAGCTGGCCAACCATGGGTTTGTTTCTGTCTTTAGAGGCTTATTTCCAACCTAAGAATGGGGTCACATTTCTGATCACATTTTTTCTTTGCTGCTTTTTAAAAGCAATTTTATTAGACTATAGTTTACTTACAACAGAAACACCCACTGTGAGCATACTGGATGATTTTAGACAGACGTCCACACATAGAGGCCATTTGCATCAGCCCATCCACGCAGCCCCTAGCACAGCAGCCGTCGCTCTGCTTTGTGTTGCTGTAGCTTTAATGAAGCCATTCAATGTGCACTTCACCTGTGTAGGTTTCATTTTGCTTGGCATAGTATTTGTGACAAGTGTCAGTGTTGTTGCTTGAATCAATAGCTCTTTTCCATTGCTGAGTAGTATTCCATTGTACAAATAAATATGCTACAATTTGTTGTCACTCTATTGGTGGGCACACTGGCTATTTCTAGTTTAGGACTTTTTGAATAAAGTGGCTATGAGCATTTGTGTACCAATCTGTGCGTGGACATGTGATTTCATTTATTGTCAATAAATACCTGGATGTGAAATGTCTGAGTCATATGGTAAATATTTAACTTTCTAAGATATGCCAAAGTATTCTTCCAAAGTGGTCATGTGTTGTTGTATCTCGCCAGCAGTGGCTGAGGGTTGCAGTCTCACCACATTGTTGCCAGCACATGGTGGTCGTTTTAACACTGGCCATTCATGTAAGGGATGCTGGGGGGTGTGGTGGTTACAGTTCACTTTGCTTAACCACTAATGACAGACATCGAGTGTCAGATGTGCTCCTTTGCCAATGCTGTATCTTCTTTGGTCTGAAAAGCTTTATTAAGGTATAATTTATACATACTATAAAATCCATCCATTAAAAGTGCATAACTCAAGGTTTTCATTGTATTTCCGGAGTTGTACACTCCTCAGCATAATCTCATTTGGAGTTGTTTTTGTCACCTGAAAGAGCCTAACACTCAGTCACTCCCTGATTCTCCCTCCTTCCCCCTGCTTTCTATGTCCACAGACAGGGCTTTATTGGACATTTATGTAAGTAGAGTCATATAAAACAGTCTGTGTTTGGTTTCTTCCAAAACACACGTGTGGTTAGCATGTTTTAGTAATTCGTTCTGTATTTTTACTGTATGCATGGGCCACATCTGATTTTCCATTCACCTGTTTGATGGAAATTTCATTTCCACCCTGTGGACTGTGATCAGTAATGCTGTGGCTGTATTTATCTGTCTTGGGTAAGGACCTAGAAGTGTAGTTGCTGGATCAAACCACACACCATCCTCACAACTGTCATTCCCCAGGTCTCTTTCTTGGATTTATGGCTGTTCTGTGCATCTACTGCTTGCCCAACCCAGATTTCAGCTCCAGGTTAGCTATAGCATTGGCCTTCCCTGATGGTTTACCACTGGGGTTGATAATTTTCAATAGTACTTCTGCATGTGAATTTTTTTTTTTCATATTCTACTCCAAATCATTCAGCCCCTGCAGCAGGGAGACCTCACAGCCTACCCGCCTGTGGTGGAATCACCTCGCCATTGGGTGGTCAGGGAGGGTGAGATGGGGAGCAAGCTCAGGCCAAAAGCTGCAGCTGCCTTCCAAGCTTCAGTAGGTTTCCCTGGGCAAATGTTTCTCAGTGTGTTGAGTGCTTTTGGTCAGTTTCCAGAGTTATGAAGTGATGGTTCTAATGGCTTTGTCATGTTTTATAATTGCTTTTGGGGCAGTAAATTGGGTGACTTCTTACCTAGTCATTCCTGAAGTCTCACTGGGCAGCTCACTTTTTAATTGTGTATCTTATTATCGAGTTGTAAGAACCCTTTATTCTGAATATCAGCTATCTGATTTTCAAATACTATATGCCTTTTTGTTTTCTTCTTAATAGTGCTTTGAAAGGGCAAAAGTTGTAAATTTTAATAAGATCACATTAAAATTTTTTTTGGCCCTCTTACAGACAGTAAGAGGAAAAGACAGAGAGGTCTTCCATCCGCTGGTTCACTTCCCAAACGGCCGCAACGGCCAAAGCTGCACCGATCCTAAGCCAGGAGCCAGGAGCTTCCTCCAGGTCTCCTACACAGGTGGAGGGGCCCAAGACTTGGGACATCCTTTACTGCTTTCCCAGGCCACAGCAGAGCTGGATTGGAAGAGGAGCAGCCAGGACTAGACCAGTGCCCATATGGGATGCCAGCCCTGCAGGTAGAGGATTAACCCTCTGAGCCACAGCACCAGCCCTCCTAAGAAATTCTTACTTAATACATAGTCACAAAAATTTTTTCTATGGCTCTTATATTTGTTCTTTAAATTGTTACTTATTTGGTTTCGCTTTATTTGAAAGGCAGAGAGAGATCGTCCATCTGCTGGTTCACTCCTCAAATGCTTGCAATAGCCAGGGCTCTCTGCCAGAGCAAAACTGGGAGCCTAGAACTCAATCCAGGGGCCCAGCTACCTGAGCCATCATCTTCCCAGGACTAACAGGAAACGGGATGGGAAGTGGAGCCAGGGCTCGGAACCAGGCACTCTAATGTGGTACACAGGGTGTCATTACCACTGAATCAGTTGCTCAGCCCAAGCTCTTTCATTGAGATTTGGGATATAGTTCAAGTTAGCTGTTGCCAGCTGTATGAGGATGTGGGTCGTTGTATCCATATGGCTCTCCCATTTATTCCAGATCATTTGTTAAAGTATCTTTATTGAAAGGCAGATGAGCTGGTATTATGTGGACTGTATTCTGTTCCGCTGACCTCTGTGTGTGTCCATACTCTTATATCGCACTGTCATGATTAATGCAGGTTTATACTAAGTCTTGAAATAATCACCTTCAGTTTTGAAAGTTTTTGCAGGCACAGAATTCTAGATTGTCTTTGTTTTGTTTTCTTTCAGCACTTTAAAGATGAACTCCTTTCTTTTTTTTCCCTATTTTTACATTAATGCTTTATTATCAGCTTCTACATTAGATCCTCTGACCTTATTTACATTTACTATGAAATTTCTATTAGCATGTATAACGCAAAGGCAGTCAATTCAGAGGTTATAAAGTCCTGAGCTCAAGTAGGAAATAGGGTTCCCAACTAAAACTTGAACATAAATAATTCTAAAGATCACAGAATATGAAAACATTAAAAAGTGTGACAGCTGTTACATAAATAACTCATAACCTAATAATAAAGTTATACAGAATGTCAAAGAAAAGACCATATAAGGCAAAGGAATATCCTAAGAATCAAACTGATTTTTCCCTCATTCAAGTTTATCTGAAGGTCTGAAGCTGATTTTTATTGTTAAAATCCTAGGGAAAAAAATCGTGAAAATGCTTAACTTTAAAAAAATGTTCCTCCACTTAGTCTCCAAAAATGGTGAAAAAATTTAACAAATGAAAACATATTAGAAAGATAATACACTAAAAGGAGGAATCATAAAGAACAGTTGAAAAAGGAGAGCTCTAATGCACCATTTGAAAGTGTATTTCTAGCTTGCCAGGTTATTCCCTTACCATTCTTTTAACCAGTAAAAATAAATTTATGGATGTATAAATGAGATTCATCAACATTAGGCAAGAAGAGTTTAAGTTAAAAACTAAATCTTTACTTTGTTACAGAGAAATGTGAAATTTACCTACAGCAGTTTTCTACTGATGCTAAATTATGACTTGACATCTTTATAACATAAATGGTTTGACAGATATTTTCTTGGCTTTAAAATGCTTTTTCATATATGCATAGAAATGTAATGAGGGTAGGGATAATCTTCTGCATTGTCTGCACAGTTCATAAGGCCTTTGTCATTGTTAGTCACCTTAGGTGTGAATATCAACAGGGCCATTAAATTAAAGCTGGCCTAGTAAGTTTTCAAAGTGCTATTATTTCCATCTGATGAGATCCTCAGTTTTCTGTATTTTCTGGGTGAAGATTATTTTCAGTTCTTTTTCTCTGATGATACATACAAGAAGTTAACAGCAGATATACAAAGGGAAGATCAGAAGCCTGCTGTCCAAGTTCATCACCACTTGCTCCTGATCCTTTTCAAGTGTAAGTATTTGATAGCCAGTTGTTCTACTACATATTAGTTTCCCACTACTGTCAAAAGAAGCCAAACGTAATCTAAATGCTATGCTCCTTCGAGGCTGCAAACTGACAGATCCACTACACGGCTGGTTCAGTGTATTGCGTTTGAAAATGATGTATCGATTGGTGTATGTCACAAGTAAGTCAAAGCCGAAGTTAAAACCTGTCCACCGCCAGCAGTATTCACCATCTTTTGTAAGCTTTCTACCACATCTCATGCTGTTTCCCTCTAGTTCTTCTTTATTGATTTCTTGAGGCCCTACTTCACTGTCTTGTTCTGCACGGAGCATGGCAAGCCACTGTTGTTTATACACACAAGACAGCCATTCTGAAGGTACTAGGGAATCTTGTTCAATAATTTTCGCAGAAGCCAGATCACTAATAATATGTTGTAACCTTAAATGCCTGAATACTGACACAAATGGTTTTCCTTGCTCAGTTTCAAGGAAGGTCATACCTTCAAAATCTTTTTTCCGCTTAGAAAACCAGACATCTGTTTCTGTCAAAAGTTGTTTTAGAGATCCATTCCAGGAAGGCACAAGTTGAAGGAACATCCACTTTTTAAGAGCTGTGTATATACATCCATCTCCACTCGCATCACAAGTAAGTTAGATGACCCAATGAGCTGTCTCATGACATGTACACTGAGCTCTTCAGAAAGCTCTCCATTCTGGTGAGTCATTAAGTTATTTAAAAGCCATTCAAGGCACTTCTTCTTAACGGAATCTAATCCATAGGTCCCTGCTGTTGTGTAGCAGCCACACACAGTTTTCACATTAATGGTTCCCTTCATTGTCTCACCACACTGCTGTATTAAACCATCCAACTGCAGCATACAAGCTGCTGCCAAAATGGCAATAACTCGACTGGGCTTTATTAAGACATCATCTCGATACAGTGACCCAAATGCAACCTGCAGTGCTTCTATATCAATATTCTGGTCAGGAATCTCCAATTCAATAATATTCATGTTTGATTCTTTCCAAGAACCACTGAACATACTAGAAAAGTAGCCAGATTGACATAAATATATTTTGTGTAAGCTCCACTCTTCTCCTAACGTCACTATTTTCACCATTCAAAAATAACATTTGGTAAATATATTTGGATGTACTCTTTAATTTTTTCCTCCATTTTTTCCTCCGAGGGGTGTTGAGCCGCTGCTGCCCGTCCCCTTCCTCATCCTCGTCTGTCTCGGAGTCGGGGTGATAGTAGAAGGCCCCGCTGCTCTGCTTGCGCTTACGGCTGACAGGGTAGAACAAGCCGTGACCGGACGCGTCGCCTCCAGTTTCAGGCCTTCGGGCAGAGCCCCCGGCCCCGGGCCCCGGCTCCTTGCTCCTGCTGGGCTCGGGCTCGCCCCGGGTGGCGCAGAACTCGGCTGCTCAGCGAGCCCATGGGACACGGCTCCCCGGGACTTCAGGGAGCGCGCCTCAGGGATCCCAGCCATGGCCCGGCCGCTGCCGGCCTCCCCGCAGCTCAGGTGCCTG